CTTTAAAATATCATAATTATCTTTCTTAATATCCTCTTCTCTCACTTATTTGATTATAATTAAGGGAGTATCCATAGGGATAATTTAAAAAAATTGATAAATATGATAAATAGATCTTATATTTAGAACTAAAATTAACTTAATAATTAGATCCTATATTAAAGGATTAGAGGAGCATCATATTATGAATACCTAATGATTTTTATTGGCGTACAATTTATACCTTCTTGTTATTGTGCTATCTCAAAACCTTATTATAAGAGTTGTTTGATTAATTTGAATTATTAAAAATGCCTAATAAATTAATTAAGGTTAATATAATTTTTATCTCTGAAATTTGAGTCCATTTTGATTTTGGTTCGTCAAATTTCAAACTTGTGGTTTTAGTCCTAGAAATTTTGCCTGTCTTAAAATACTAGTCCTTAACGATACAACAGTATTAAAATCTGCTGAACTGTCATCGATGATATTAAAAGGGTTGATGTAGACTTACTAGATAATACTTAACTAGATCTTATATGGATAATAGAGTGCAATATAGTGAATAACTTTTGAAAACAAATAGCAATAAAGAAAAAACAAGAGGCTAAAAAGCTACATTTTTAGGATTTGTTTCTTTTTTCCTCTCTCCTGTTATCCATACAAGATCCAGTTAGGTGTCATAAGATGAGTTTACACTATCACTTTAATGCTGTTTATAACATTTTAGTCGATTTTGACATTGTCACACCTCAGGAACTAATGTTTTAACACGGACTAAACTCTAACGACTAAAACCATGAGCTTGAAATTTAAGAAACTAAAACAAAATAAACCTAAATTTTAGGACAAAAAATTATATTAACCCAATCTCTATGTATACTGTTAGATCATATATCATTTTATAAGATATGTAAATTAATTTGAGAAAAATAATAAATATGAGAGACAAAAAATTTAAAGTCTTATATTAAAAATCAAATCCAACCCTATAACTGACTTCTACGTTAATCACAAAGTACAACTCATTTTTTTTAACTATGCATAGGTATTTTCAATTGGAGACAGTCTTATCGGCATTAAATATGAGCATTTTTTCTAGCATGGATTTGAACTTTGATTCGTCATATTGTGAGGGACTAATCATTTTCACTAAATCCAACCTTATTAGTAGAGTACAATTAATTTAGAAATACATAATTTATAATATATACAAAATTAGTTGTAATAATTATTGTAATTTATAATTTATGATAAAACTTAGTTACAATTTATAATATATACAAAAATATATATATATATATATATATAATATATATATATAAAGACACAGTCTTATTTGAGGTAGTGTACCCCTCTTCTCTAATATAGCCTATAATAATTATTGGGGGTTGGATTTATTTTTAAATATAAAATTTCAATTATTTTTTTATATTTATAATTTTTTTCTAAATATTTTACACTGTTTATAATTAACTAATTTATTTTAATTTTTTAAATCTATCAAAGTTGTTTACGTCAAGAAAGACGGAGTATTCTTTTTTTTTTTTAATATATATATTTGGGTAATGTTAGACCCAAATAGAGGTCAAACACAGTCTTGAAAATTTTTAAGGAATTACTTAAATAACAAGGATATTTTAGGAATGACAACACTTATTTATTATAAATAACCAACTTAACTTACTTCCTTAATTTCTCCAAATAAGTCAATTGGGTCTTATAATTAGGACCGGAGGAGTAGTATACTATGTTCACCTAAAAATTTTAAATTTAATTCAATAGCAGCCAACCTGTCATGAGCACTAATAATCAATTTTAAGAACAAAAACAATATTATTAACAGTGCCAAGGCAGCCGCAGCCCCCGTTTGTTAGTATAAAACTTTGGTGCGTCCCTGGCTCTGACCTCATATGCCAGTCCCTTTCTACGTTCCTTGTTTTTGTAGTCTCGAGTTATTTACTTTTTTTTTTTTCTTCGATCTGGTTATACTATGTAGTAATTTTACGGAAAAAAAAATGAACTAAAAAGATAAGCATGTGAGAAATTAGAAATTAGAATGGTGGCCGGCTGGAGGATAAGAAACGACTAGTTTCATGTGAATTAGAGTTATTTTTTAATGAGAACTATTTACAAGCGATAAAGATATTTTAAGAAAAAAATTATAAATTTACAAAGCAAAGTAAATTAGAACATTATATTTAAAATTAAAATAAACTTTTTAATTATATTTAGAGTTGGAAGAGGTATTTTTAAATTTGCTTAGGTTTAGTCGCATAATTAGTTATTCATTTGCAAAAATAATAATAAACATATAAAATAGATTTTATATTTAAAATTAATATTAATTTTTTTGTGTATCTTTTTCCAGATCTGTACAAAAATGAAATAAACCCTGAACCGTCACTGCTTACGCAACCACGAGCCCAGGTCCCCACCCACTTCCACTTACCCCTATATGGGCTAGCTGGATGCTCGTACTATAAATAATATACTCCGTCCTGTTTTAAATATAAAAATAAAATAGTTCTTCTATTTAGATATATTTGTAATCTTTCTTCTTCTTCTTTTTTTCTGGTGAATTTTTTACATAGGAATATCGGCTAGATCCAATCACTTATCACATCCCATTTACTGCCTGAAGGATCGTATTATTTGTAATCTTTTCATTGCATATTAATATACCCCCGAGTAGAGAGAAATTTTTTTCGTATAATTTTAATTCTTATTTATTATTTTATTGATTTTATTTTAGAGGATATAATATATATTAAACAGGAATGAAGTTAGAAAATTATTAAATTTTAATAAAGAATTAATAAAGTAAAGATTTTCTTTTAATTTGTTTGAAATATATTATAAATGACTTATAAAAAGTACGAATTAAAAAATATATTATGATTTTCATTGATATACAATTTATGCTTTCATGTTAATTTAACAAATCTATAATACAACCTAATAATGGGCAAGGGATGATATATGCAAAATACCATGATTTAATTAATAATCCACATCCTACGCAACATAATGTATTACTATCTCCGGTTTTTACTATAAAATCTAGTTTCCTATTTACAAACTTTTTTTTACCAGCGTTGTTTATTTAGAAAATAAATCTTATATTAAGAATGTGAAATAGTTTTTTTTTTTTTAAATTTTTTTGGTCAAGTTGAATACTAAAGTAAAAGTCTAATCTAATCTTGTTTGACCTAAGGAATATATATTATTCCTTTCGCTTCAAAATATAAGTATAAATTTTTTAAAGGAATTTGTTCTTTATAGGCTATAATGTGAATTAATCTAATTATTTAATATATTTTTTATTTTTATTCTCCCACTTACTACCTCTTCATAAATAAGAGTGTTTTAGAAAAATAAGTTATATTTTTACATACTATTATTTTTAATCAATTTTAACTACCTTCATGAGTTCCATAATTTAATCATTGGATACTTATATTTTGAATCGAGGGATTATTATAAATTTTTTCAGAGCATTAATTGATTTTATGAGAATACTTTTATTGGTACATCTTAATGGATAAAATTTTTATTATTATGAAAATTTTAAGAAATTAATATTTTATTTTTAATTAAGATGTTAAATTGATTTCTTAACTTGAGACTATATAATAATAAGGCTTAATTATTGAGTTTTATAATTTTAAAGAATGTTATATTTTTATCTTGATATTATTTTTAAGGGAATACTATATCTTAGACGGAAGTTATTATATATTTGTTACTACCTCTTGTCCTATGTATAAGAGCCAGTTGACTAATTTGAAGAGATTAAGAAAATAATTTAAGTTAGTTATTTGTAATAGATATATATTATTTTTTAAAAAAAATATCTTTACTAATCAAATGTATTAGCTAGAGTTATCATTGTTAGAAAGATTATCTTGAAAAAAAATATAAATATGATAGACAAAGTGAATTGAGGTCTTATATTTAGGATACAAATAAAAGCTAAATAATGTCTTATATTAAAAATCAGAAGTAGTAATAAATAAGCTAGTTTTTATTGTTTATAATTTTTTAATAATTTGTTTGGAAATAAGGCAAAAACCTTAGTCTTACATGATCATGCGAAGTTTTGGTTCAAATGCATGAAGATTGAGCAACCCGTTTGTGGTCAACTCAATCATTGTTTGGTCTTTGTACGTTCCTATATTAAAAAAAACACAACGTATGAACATAACTTAAGTTTAGAAAACCAGCCGTTTCGTCCCACATAATAGGCAACTTAAACTTTTGTTTTTTTTTTTTTTGTGGGGGAGGGGCGGGGGATTAAACAAAGTTAGTACATTGAGCCAGGTAAGGCGAGTTTGGTTTGAGTGATCAGCGTGGCGATCAACGTCAAGATATTTCTTCTTGTAGTGAGATATACATAGTTTTTAATATAAGACTTTTTTAGATGAAACAAAAGTATTTTTAAATCATACTCCTCCGATCCTTAATATCTGACCCAATTGTTAAGTTGATTTTAGTCTTAAATATAAGACTCATTTATCATATTTATCAGTTTTCTCTAAATTATTTCTGTGAATACTCCCTCAACCATAATCAAGTAGAAGAAGGAGAGGGGTATTAAGAAAGATGATTATGATGTTTAGAAAAAATATGTCACATTTCTTATAATTAACTAATTTATCTAACTTTCTTAATTTAATCAAATTTAGTTAAATAAGTTTTATATTAAGGATCGGATAAGTATTAGACTTGAAACTAATTTTTTGAGCTAGGAGCGGTTAAAAAATAACCCTCTCAACAAATATGTTGTCTAAAATTTAAACTTATGTTCTCTTTTTCAAGTGAGACGGCTACTGTTTTAATTACAAATTGCATTATAAAATTGCAAAGGAGAGCGCCCGCCTAATATTATATCCTTCTGGGGAGGCCATCACTAAACCATGCACCATCATCCTTTTGCTATTTAAGTGTCTATTGATTTCTTCATTCTCTTCATTCTTCATACCGTCGTTGACTCAAGAGGCTCATCACGCTTAGAAGAAAGCATGGCACTCACGGCGGCGGCTCCGGTGAAGGTGGTGGCTATCTGTGGTTCACTGCGTAAAGACTCATACAACAGAGGCCTCATTCGAGCTGGTTAATCCGTCAACTACTGCTCTCATCGTTCTCTCTATCTCTCTCTGTTCTGTTTGATTTTGATTGTTAGGTTAATATATGGTTCTGATTTGGGATTTGGATCTGTGATGCAGCGATCGAGTTAAGCAAAGGAGACATTGAAGGTCTCCAGATTGAGGACGTTGACATTGCTGCTCTGCCGATGCTGAATACGGATCTTGAAGAAGATGGGAGGTTTCCGGTGGAAGTGGAAGCGTTTCGCCGGAAGATTCTGGAAGCCGATTGTGTTTCTCTTCGCTTCTCTGGTATAATTATTCCGTCACTGGTAATTGCTTTAGTCTGTTTCTCAGAAGAAACATTTTCCAAAAATTGTCTGCAGTTTTTTTTTTTTTAAAAAGAAGCAACTTCGTTTTCATTTCAATTTTTTAAAAAAAAAAGTCCTGTGAATGATTTTGCTGATATTGTCCTTTCTATTTTGTCACTCACGTTTGCTTTTTTTTTAAAAAA